TGTTCTGATCATCCAACCTTGACTCGACACGTACATGCACCAATTCCCTCAACAAGTTTGTGTGATACGTAGTACTACGAACCAGTACGTAATGAACTGTCGGTCGGGAAGTGACAATGACAAGGCATGAAAGAAAGGTACCGTATGGTACGGTTTGAAATGCGTCGTAATGTAAAGCAATTGTTAAACGACTCGATTAAATAGCAGGCTGACAGTCCTCAAATATAACACAATACATAATTCAGTAAACGATCTCTATCTGTAATGTTCCAAGTCAGTGTCGTCATACTCACCAAAACTGGAATCGCCGGACGGTACTGAAAAAGTTACACTTCAATATTCGCCACAACCTCGTCTATTTGCAATAGATGGGCTAAATCTACGTACAGTTAGTTGTCCAAGCGTCATATAAAGTAACAACTTACATTGCCACGTCACCATCGACATAGACTAAGTTTTAATCTATTAAACTTCGTGACCGTGTTTGCGTGTCAGCTGAACAATACGTTCTGCTTCCTCGATGCCCTGGAGTGACCCGACGTGACCTCAAAAAGTTCCAGCTAAAATTGGCACCAGAGGGCGGTGTTTTTCACATATTGTGATCGCCGAAATCGCCAGACGTCCGGAGCAATCAGATTGCGATAGCGGATAGAGGGACCGATTTAAAAGTATTTTCTGAGTTTTGTCTGTCACTGCATTTTACCTCCATGGTCACTGTAAACTCAATGTAAACACCACAATATACATATTTTGGCATTTTATTTATTTATCATATTAAGGAACAAGTCCTATATTTTGTATTCACGGTCACAAGTAACCGTGTTGTATTTGACTATTGCAGTTTTGTTGAAATATACAACAAAATGGACTGTCAACATCTAAGAGGTGAACAGTTAGAAATGGGTACAAGGAACCAGCGAACAAAAATACCCTGTTGGAAGAGATGCGACTGTTACAATTGCGCAACTACAGTAGAGTGCTATAAAACCTGCCAAGTTCACCCCTTATACCTATTGTGGGTGTCATTTTATTAACGCCAAAAATAAAACGAGCTACAAACCTGTTCCAAGACATTTAATAATTCACAGGCCCATTTTTCAGAACTGTACATTAAAATTGTCGATATAATTACTAGTATTTTATTTGGATCAGTTTTTGTTTTAATTGTATTCATTCTAATAATTATTTTTAACATTTATTTTTTTTAACTCAGTCTGTATTTTCTATTACTGTATTGTATTTAGAATTGTCCTAGTCTGATGGCTCGATAGTGTAATAAATTATTATTATAAAATACCGGGATCAAATACAAGGCCAAATAGCTAATTGACAGGACATTTGAATCAGGTCACGGTTATTCTAAGTTCTTCTAGTAGTGATCAGGTCTATTCACTGTACGTATTTTTCCGGGGGTGTTTGTACTGTAATTTAAGTACAGATTTCTTAAAGAATAAACAAGTTGTTGAAAACATGGTCTTGCGCATACCCTTTCAATTCAGAGTCGCCCACATACCTCCTAATCCATCTGCCTTCAGAATAACACACAAGTTAAAACAAAAATCAAGAGGCTACTATTCATGGGGGGACAGAAATAATCAGAGAGTGGGGATTGTATTCTGCTATTGCACAACCCCACAAATGTTTTCAAATCAGGGGTTGGTACTTGTCTATTGTTTCTGCATTTTTGGAATCTACCCCAAGAACATCTCTACTTCATGTGTGAAAAATTGAGTCATAATTGTGTTGTTACTCCAAAATCCTAAACAGCCATACAATGTAGTTGGCTATTATATTTCAGTCCATGTTACAGAACTAACCCCCCACCTCCTCTAATAAAAACACACATTCACAGCTCACGACTTTGTCATTCATGGATTATTTTGATTCTAAATACCAGCTTGTGAAGTTTTACACTAGTTTTTTGTTTGTAGGTCCAGTATTCCTAAAGTTCTCGGTTGCTTCAACAGAGTCATCGCAACGAAAGTTCACATGAAAAACAATAAATTTTCACTAAGCTATACAAAGCAAGATTTACACAAAAATTGCCTCTGATATTGTTAAATGATTTTTTACTAGTTGACTGCCATGCACTAAGCTATGTGAAGTCGATGTGATGTCAATAAAAATTATATCATTTTCAGTAACTTAATCAACTGTCAGTTTTGGGTAGAGGACCGTTTGGCAGGCACATGGTTCAGGCGATTTGGAATGCATAGGTTTCAACGTAATTTTCTACATCCAAGCACACACAAAAACACAACTCAGTTTTCAAACTAGATGTTATTTTATTTGTTGATTGGAAACGTGACAAATGTAGATAAACACTATGGCCAAAACAAAACAAATTTCTTGGTTTGAAGATCACTTCACACCAGCTAAAAGAAATCACTTTTTTTCAAAGAAATCTAGGCCGGGCAATAATATCCATATATAAAAATAGAATAAAAGTGGACCGATATCTTGCTTGTGAACTTAAAAACAAATCATTCAGATTTACTTATGGTGACACATTTCAAGAGTTAGGTGGTCTTTACATGGGAGCAGGGAGTCTTTGTAGTATATTTGACCAATCAGCAACAGAGGCGACATTCAAATTAGGAAAGATGCTTCTAGTAGCAGCAAATGAATCAAAACTAAGATACTGATGAAAAATATTCTGTATAATTAAACAGCTCATTTCATTTAATACATGTAGCTTAGATTCTATGTAGTGTTTCACCATTAATACTCTACTAAAGCCTAGCTACAGTGCTTGTAATATCAACTGATTACATCTATCCTTTCATCTGTGGTATTCCACTCGTGCCTCTACACAAATACTTAGCTATGATGTTAATATTTCCCATTCAGATTTATACAAACATGACATTTTGTGTGGTATAAAGCAGTCATAAAAACATAAACTGAATGTTTCACACGTGACACTTTTCAACAACCAATTCAATGTCAACAGCTGGCCGTAATTAATAACCAGCATCGTATCTAAACATTAGCGGAGTGTGGTATGAGTGAACACTGCACAGATTTTAGGCAACACGGGATATTACTAGCATTGTACCTACGTGTTAATGGAGTGGCCGCAGAGGAACAAACACTGCATAGGTTAGGATACCTCTCGGCAGTTATTGGTTGAAATACCTTGGCAGCCCGTATAAGCACACACCCAACTCTCAAAATATGCACTGACCAAAAGGCAGTAATCATCACATTAACTGGTCCACTACAAATTGTGTGACCTTTGACCACATAAGGTCAGGGGTTACATAAAAGTAAATTGCATATCACAATTGCATTGTAATAAACACAACTCCAGGTACCATGGTCCTTTATGTACAAAAGAAAAATAAACCGGCTAATGAAATTGCACCGTTTTTACAAGCAACACTCTTAAAGTTTTCAACTTGCATTTTTAAAAATAATGAAAAGAATCAAATATGCAATTACAGAAAAAGTTGATTAGAATTAGAATACATCTTGGAGAGTGATCTAAAATTATTACCTGAGCAGAAAACAGTTCATTTTAGTCTATTCTTACTCAATATACAAAGTAACGAATGTACATAGAAAAAGGCAAGTTTAAAAGAAATTCATCAAATCCAGATTAAAATGTTTACAA